ACGTGTGATTTGTGGCGGTACGTGCAAGGCTTGACGGCCGCCGTAAATGATTTTATTCGGAGGCATTCGAGTGTTATGGCATGTTATGTGTAGATGGATCCCGGAAGAGTTTTGGTGGTTTAGACCACTACTAGAGGTTTGTAATTTTTGCGGCTATGGGAATCCAGTCACATGTTGCAATGGTTCTCCTGAGAGGTTCCTATATGATGAAGCAAGTATTCTGTTAGTGGTTCAGGAGTTATGATGAAATTCTTGTACTCTTGTGCATTGGCATGATTAGGTGCAGTGAGTAGTATGGGAATTGGAAGTTGAGGATCAAGGTTGCGGTTTGGTGTTGACAAGAATGTCACAAGCTCGATGAGCGGGAAAAGGGATTCAGATGGTTAGAGTAAGCTGTTATTGTCTTTAGTGTCACCTGAGATCGGTGTATTATGTAAGAGGCTTTGCGTACTGATTGCGGATTCTTGATTTGCCTTACAGCATTGGTATGGCCGATGGTATAGAGGTGCAGACATGTTACCTGGTGTGGAAGGTCGTGGGAGCATATTCCACGGGAAGATTGTATAAGTGTGACATGTAGTCACTTAATTGATCAAAGATTGAAACCAAGCATGGAGATTGTGGTGCTATCGCTAATGTGAGAATTTATGTCTGAAGGGCGCTCGGTTCATCTGGTTGAGGACTGTGGAAGTCTGTTCCGGATTGTCGGTTGTTCTTGTGTATCACGGGAAAAAGAGGTTATTGTGGATCCTTGAAAGGGTATTAGCCCAATGTGGCACGATCGGAATTGGCTTGAGGTCCGTGGATGGATCTAAATGTGAATGTGGGCTCTGTATGAGGCCGGATATGTTCATTTCAGCATAGCGTTGTTTACGGAGGAGTCTTTGGGACTTGGATGTTATTTCTCTCGCAGCCCTTCAGTGAAATCTCTATTGTGCCATGTGATTTGTGAGGCGATTTGATTATTCGCACTCGTATTGAGATCCCGTAAAATCTGTGGTGTTGTGAGACTAGAGTAGCTCTCCAAATGCAGGTCATTTATTGCACCTTAGTTGTGCTTGAGTTTCGTAGCATATGGCACTATCCGTCTCCCCAGGATTTGTACTTCCCTATTTACTGTTATGTATGGATCGGGTGGCACGCCGCCACCGGTATATGGTTGGACCGGGTGGCACGCCGCCACGGGTATATTGTTGGATCGGGTTGCACACCGCAACGGTATTATGTGTGGATCGGGTTGCATGCCGCAACAATGTGATTTTGAGTACAGTCCCCTATATTTATTCTTGTGTGTTTTGTTTCTCATTTTCTGAGGAAGGTTCATAATACCTTCTCGGCTGTTTAATTAGTTACGCGGATTGAGTAGTTCTTTCCAGAGTTCGTTTTCCTTATGTATCACATTCGCGTTTGTAGCTTGTCGGAACATTGTGGCATCATATGAGATTTTTAGGCAGTGTCTGAGGTGGCTTGTTGCTTGAGCAGCTTGTACTGCATGAGATGAGATTATTGGACTTGGGATCAGTGCGATCAAATTTATTTAAGGCACATTAAAGAGTAAATATCGATATTCAGTCCAAGATGAGGTAATGGTTCTTGTCAAGAGGAGAAACTCAATGAATTGTTGACTCGCTAGTTGGATATGAATTCCTACACATCTCTTCCGTTGTGGCAGTATTGCAGGAGTTGGAACAGGGCTTATATATGTCATGAGGTGTGTTGTGAGCATCGGATTCGTGAAATTTCAGCTATTGTTATCAGAGGATGTTACTATGGTCATGTGAGTTATGCAGTGCATAGTGTGGATTCAACAAAGGTATGCAATCATGTATTGGTGCATCGCGTAGTGGTTGATACGGTGTTCGCATGTGGAAAGTAGGCCCTGTGGAGAGTTCCAGGTGTTGGAATTTGGCTCCAAGGCTTATTTGATCAAATAAAAGGGAGAATTTTCATATTGGCTCGAACTAATGTGTTCAACCGAGTCATGGTATCACGGGTAGGTGCACGAGGTGTTAAATAGTGATTTCAAACGACTCTAGAGCAGTTCTTATCACGTTCAAGGACGAACATATGTTTAAGTGGGAGAGAATGTAACGACCCGACCGGTCGTTTTGATCTCTAGTGCATCGTCGACAGTTTGAGGCCATGAGCATCTTCTCTTCAAGTATTATGACTTGTACACGTGGTCGGAATTGAAATTTTCAAAGTTGATTTGGAAAGAGAATTCTCATTTCGGAAGCTTTAAGTTGGAAGAATCTGAATAAGGGTTGATTTTGAGTAAACGACCTCGGAATCGGGATTTGAAGGTTCCAACAGGTTCGTATGATGATTTTGGACTTTGGCGTATGCCCAGATCGGGTTTTGGATGGCTCGGGGGTGTTTCGGCGCCTATTGTGGAAGGTTGGCATTTTGAAAGAATTTCATAAATTTGGGGTTGAAGTTCATTTCAATGTTATCGATGTCCGTTTGGGATTTTTGAGTCTGGGAATGGCTCCGCATGGTAATTACGGAATCGGGAGCGCGTCCGGAAGTGGATTTGGAGGTCCGTAGGTCATTTTGGGGTCATTTGGCGAAAGTTAGAAATTTGAAGGTTTTTGAGAAGTTTGACCGGAAGTGGACTTTTTGATATCGGGTTCGGGTTCCGCTTTCGAAAGTTGGAGTAGGTCCGTAATGTCGAATGTGACTTGTGTGCAAAATTTGAGGTCAATCGGACGTGATTTGATAGGTTTCGGCATCGAATGTAGAAGTTTGAAGTTCTAAAGTTCATTAAGCTTGAATTGTGGTGCGATTTGTGATTTCGACGTTGTTTGATGTAATCTGCGGTCTCGAGCAGGTCTGTGTTATGTTTAGGAACTGGTTAGTCTGATTGGACGGGGTCCCGGGGGCCTCGAGTGGATTCCGGATGGTTAACGAATCGAATTTGCGTTCGGGGGAAATGCCAGGGCTGTTGTCTTCTGGTGTAACCGCACCTGCGAGGTTTTGGCCGGAGGTGCGGAGCCACAGAAGCGGCCAAGAGGGCCGCAGAAGCTAGGGAAGCCGCAGAAGCGAAGAGGAGGATCGCATCTGCGGAGCCGCAGAAGCGACTGAGGACCGCAGATGCGAGGTGTTGCTGCGCAGAGAAGAATTTTTATAAAACGGGACTTGCTTCCATTTTTTTCACTTGGTGGGCGATTTTTGGAGCTTTTGAAGAGGGGATTTCTTCATCAAGCATTAGTTAAGTGATTTTTACTAGTTGTGAGTTAAATAAAAGGTTTATATATGGATTTAGACATGAAAGTTTGTAGAAATTGGTATTTTGAAGAAAAACCTAAAAATTTATATTTTTGCGTTTTGACCACGAAATTGGACATGAAATTTGGAATAAATTATATATTTGAGTTCCTGGTGTTATGGGTAAAATTTATCTTCGAAAATTTTTGGAATCCGGGCCCGAGGGTATTTTATCGACTTTTCGAACGGAATTGGAAATCATTGTAAATTGGATTATAATGAGTATTAGAGTATATATTTATAGATTTGCACATTTATTGACTAGTTTTGGAGCATTGGGCATCGGTTTGAGTTGTTGAAAAGGCTTGAGAACCGGCTATGGAACTTCGTAGCGAGGTAAGTCTCTTTTCTAACCTTGTAAGTGGGAAATAACCCCGTAGCTGAACTTAACTAATATGTGCTTCTATTTGTGGGGACTACGTACGCACGAGGTGACGAGAGTCCGTACATAGCTACTATTTATGCCTATATCCGAGTAATTTTAGGTTTACACCATGCCTTGTTGATATTGTTATTTGATTATGCTTATTATTTGCCTTGAAAAGAGTTGAGATTGAGTATGTTTATTAAATTGCCTTGAAAAGAGTAAGAATTGAGGAATTTGAGATTTTAAAAGCTTTCATTTTAATTTCGTATTTTTAAAAAGAATTGAGAAATATTATAATAACTTAAGAAATCTATGTGCAACCGCGTCGCAAATATATTCCGCGAGCGGGGTAAATTTTCACTACTCTCATGGGAGCGGTCCGTTCGCATCGGCAGGTTAATAGATGCATCTATGGTTCGTGCCGTTCGATCCTCGGCAGTGCATAGTTTATATTTATATGTTGGATCCGGTCGTACGATCTCGGTATGACTTGCGCATGATAACTCTTTGGAACTAATAATATTTGACATTGCTTTATTGGCTTGAGATATAAATTGTTAAATGATGAAAGATAAAATTTGGAAATTTTCATTTGTAAAAGAATTGTTGATTATTTCCGGTTATTAAATTTCCAGTTACGTCATGTATTTCATGCTTAAATATAATATCGACATTTTATTGTTAGCCCATAGTAAGTGTCGGAGTCGACCCCTCGTCACTATTTCTTCGAGGTTAGACTAGATACTTACTGGGTACGCGTTGATTTATGTACCCATACTACACTTGCTGCACATTTTTGTGCAGGTGCATATATGTCTAGTGGCCCTGTGGCGCAGAGGCGTGGATGATGCGGGGACTTAGGTGAGCTGCATTTCATATTACGACCTGCAGCTAGCAGAGTCTCCTTCAGAGTATTTATATTTGTCCTGCCCCATTTGTATTCCGGACAGATACTATATTTTATTTTACTTCCTAGTCGATGCTCATGCACTTGTGACACCGAATTTTGGGGTGATTATGGTTTGTTCAGTATTGAAATGGTTAAAATATTATTTACTCTGTAAATTCCATCTTTTATTATTAAATTGAAGGAAATTATGATTTCAAAAATACTAAAATGATAACCAAATATATTATTTATTGTTGGCTTGCCTAACAGCGGTGTCCGGCACCGTCACGACCATTAATGGATTTTGGGTCGTGACACTTACCTAAAGGAAAATAAGCTATTGGATGTAAATGGGCGTATAAAGTAAAACATAAAGCAGATGGCAATATAGAAAGGTACAAAACAAGATTAGTTGTAAAGGGATACACTCAGCAAGCTGGTATAGACTACACAGAGACTTTCTCTCCAGTAGTCAAGATGACCACTGTCAGGTCCCTCATTGCCATAACAACAAAGATAAAATGGGAAATCTCACAACTGGATGTGAACAATGCATTTTTCCATGGAGACTTGCATGAGGAGGTGTATATGCAGGCTCCTCCAGGTCTTGAAGTGCACTCTCCGAGGTTAGTTTGCAAGCTGAACAGGTCCCTCTATGGATTGAAGCAGGCCAGTAGACAATGGTATGATAAGTTGACTAAAGTCCTATACTTAAGAGGGTACACATATTCCATGTATGACTATTCCTTATTCCACAGGAAACAAGGTTCTTCTGTTGTCTTTGTAGTAGTATATGTTGATGATGTGTTGCTCACAGGGACTGATTCAGAAGAAATCAACCAGCTCTAAGGCTTTCCTACATGACAAGTTCAAATTTAGGATTTGGGGAAGTTTCTAGGGCTAGAAATCCTTTACAAGTCAGATGGTATTATCATTTCACAAAGAAAATTTGTCTTAGACTTGTTAAAGGAATATGAGTGTCTACATTCCCCGGGCCTGACTTCTCCCCTTGATCCTACAATAAAGTTGAAAGCTAAAGAGGGGGCTCCATTGTCTGATCCTACCTTCTACAGGGAATTAGTTGGAAAATTGTACTTCCTTACTAATACTAGGCTAGACATAACATATGGGGTTCAACATCTTAGTCAGTTTATGAAAGATCCTAGGGAGCCTCACTTGCATGCAGCCTATCATATGCTGAGGTACCTGAAGAAGGACCCTACTATGGGTCTATATTTCAGCAATGCAGATAATTTTTCGGTGGCTGCCTATTTTGATTCTGATTGGGCAGCCTGCCCTGATTCTAGAAGATCAGTATCTGGTTATGTTGTATTTTTGGATGGTAGCCCTGTCAGCTGGAAGTCCAAGAAACAGAAAACCATATCTCTCTCCTCAGTAGAAGCAGAATACAGAGCTCTCAGAAAGGTTGTTGGTGAACTTGTTTTGGCTATCAAGACTACTTGAAGAACTCATTGTGCCAATTTGTTTGCCAATACTTGTGCATTGTGACAGCCTCTCTACCCTGCATATTGCTAGGAACCCTGTGTTCCATGAAAGAACCAAACACATCGAAGTAGACTGCCATTTTGTGCGCACCAAGCTTCAGGAAAGCCTCATCTCTTTGCACCACATTGGCACTGGAGAGCAGCTTGCAGATGTGCTTACTAAAGCTCTCACTGGGATCAAGCATTGTTCTGTTCTCCTCACATCCAACTTGAAAGGGAATATTAAGACAATATTTATCTTGTAATTACGCAAAGTCAGCACACTATTAGTTACTGTAGTTGGTGTTAGTTAGAATAGTCTGTTAGCTGTTAGCAGAATAGTTAGTGGAGGTTTATTTCTTATTTTCTTGCCTGTTGTATCCTAGTTGTACACATGTATATAACTGAACAATACTCAATACAAAGGTTAGAGTTTCATTTCATAAAGTTGGAGACTCTCTGCAGTTCTCTTTTCTCTCTCTACGAGCTCCATCTTCTAGAAGCTACTGAATCCTCCATTGGAGGAGATACAGAGTTCAATCTACATCTGTAATCTTGACAAGATAATTGGCATGTATCTTTTTACATACATTACTTAACTATGATTAATTAGACCTCAATATGAGTTGGATTAGTAAGACTCCAAAGTTTCTAAACTTAGAATAAAACAGGGGAATGAACAAGTACAATATTGCTGCATTAGCCGAAGCCAAGGGAAGATCTGATTGAGGAAATTAACTTGTGCCTATTATCTCCAACGAATAGGGAGCTACTGCTGGGAGACAAATCTTGCACTCAGAACCTCGGCACTTAAAACACAAACACAATTATTACTAAGAGAGGAAGAGAGTAGTTTTTTGTGTAACACTTCTTTTGAAGTATGTTATATTGTAATCAGATGTACCTAACTTGTAAAGTTAGATTAATCTGTACCTTGTAATGGTATCAAATGCATCCACCGGAACTCAGGATGAATTCGCCAGCCTCACTAGCGACGAATAAGGCAAATTGCTTATGAGAAAACACAAGTCTCTTTAAAAGGTTAATATTACTCAAATTCCAGCAAAAACAGTTAACTCTTCTGTTTATTCTCCTCTAGTCCTATCCTCGAATTACATCACAAGTCGATGCCCCTTTCCTTTGAGCTCACACATACAAACCCAGAAACCCACAATTGTTTCTGGAATATATCTATCACTATAGATATCTACATTCATTTGTTGACATTTTAATGACAAGAAAAGGAGAGGATGCAAGTTCTACAAAATTAATAGAAAAGAAACTATATCAATGACCTACAGTGATTATCTCAAGTTAGGAGTTTGGTTGAATGAGCAGGTATAACATAGAAACTTTAACTATGGAACGGAACCTAGAAGCTGGATGCTAGAAGAATGACAGGCCTATTTCAAACAAGTAAAAGAAGAAATTAAAGCTTCTGAAAATCTGTTACCTTAAGCTCTTACCATGATTCTATACATAAACATGTTCCTCAAATGCCTCTCATTGCATCGAAAACACTAGGATGCATAAACTTTTCAGGGGTATGTGGCATCCAGGGAGGTTACTATGGAATCAATATTTCATTCCAGTGCAACTGCAAACATATTCAAATATCACAAAACAGGCAACATATCAGGAAGGCTAATATGAGTGATAGATTCCACAAGTCAAAATGATGTTGAATGGAGAATAAGCTAATAACTTTTCCCTTCTCACTTGTTCAAAATCGAAGGAATACCTCAGTAGATAAGAAAAAACTTCTAGAACATGAGTAACCTAGTTTAAGAAAACCTCAAAGTATTCGAGAAAACAAAGTAACCTAGTTTAAACAGAGGCATATACTTGGCTCAATCACATATAGTTGGTCACAACAGAAAATAGCTGGCATATATGCATTTCTTTCACAAATAGAACAAGGCAGGATAACAACAATGAAATACAAGATTCACATTATTCCAGAAATACCTCTTTAATCGAAATCTACTGCACATCACATAACTCTTTTAGTCCAGATTCTCAAATATGTTTATCCAGAGCATGTTCATAAATGTTTCGATTATCAAAAGTTAAAGAAATACAGCAAGTTGAACAGAGCAACCTTTTTCCTATATGCTATGCTGATATTCATTGTACTTGTTTCCGAAACAGCTTGTATCAAATAATAACCTGCAAGTAGAGCTATCATCAGAAATTTATTGGTTTCAGTTGCCAGCTGCAGAAAGGAACATTATTGAAAAGAAAATTTTGTTTCGGCTAAGGGAGGAAAATACTGATCAGATCAGAGCGGATCCAAGATTTAAACCGTATGGGTTCAATTTTCAAGATTTTAGCATTGAACCCATTTTATTTTTAAAGTTATGAGTTCGTATCTACAATTTTAACAATTTTTTACATATATATAAATTTTTACTCCGCGTGGAAAGTTATGGGTTCAATTGAACACATCCTCAACACTCTACATCCGCCTCTGGATCAGATGATTGGGCACTATGCGTACGTAATAGGCTGCAAAATAGAAACCTGTAGAAAAGTGAAAGTCTGGAGTGCTGCGGTTAAGATTTTATTTATCTATTGATAACCACAGTGCTTCACTTTCAAATTGAAGACAACAAAGAGAAGTAATTTAAATAGTACTAGGACTCCTCCTAGAAGCAAAGAATGCTAACACCAACAATTAAAGATGGACAAGTCAATATGTATTTCATTGGCTTAAGAGTTCTAACAAAATAGAGGTCCCGTTTCTTCTATTTCTATACTCTTGAGAACTTATGAGCTAATCACAATTTTGAGGGTCTCTTAATATTGTCTTAATTAAACAGCGGAAGGTAGAACTTTAGAGAATTAGTCCAATCACATAAAGAAGAATTTCCTGGCAAATATAATACTGCAATGCAGATGATACATTCCACCAAAATCACCATGTTTAGAAGTATAAATGATAGAACAAGTCAAGTATTATCTCAAAATCGCTTAGTATGAGCTTCTTATTATCGAACAACAGAATTATATTAGTACAAATTTCCAGGCACAAAAAGATGAAACTCACCAAGAATGAGGGAAACAAAGAAAAGGTAAATGACAGCAATTATTTGACAAAGTTAACATGTGATAGCATGCCAACCACAATAACAAATGGATATTTTGACAATAAGAAACAGCATATGACTAGCTAAAACTCGGTACAGAGAGGATAACCTGCGTAGGTGCTTAGACAGGATTGATGGCACCATGTCCAAGCCCTCTCCTTCATCGTGATGGAGGTATGTTGCCAACAATCAACAGCAGAATAACTATGAGTTGGCTTGATTTCAGGAAACTGAAAAGCTAGGACTGGGCTAAAAGAGATGAATGTTGATCCGAAAGAAAAGCACCATCCCTCATTCTCTTAGTCTATTTTCCAGCATTCTAAACCGAGCTTGAAACTCATAAATTTGTTGTCCTAAATAGAAAATCCAGACTTGGGAAAGAAATCTAAAACCAACGTGGACTGACAAGGCAGCTGCAAATATTGCAGGTCGACAAGCTCTTCCCAAATAAAGGCATCTTTATAGCGTCTTTTGCTTTTCTCTAAACAGCTCCGAATATGGCTGCATTGAACTTAAGCAAATGCCTCTATGACTAGCTAGAGGCAAAATGCTATGTGCAGGAAGCAAATGCCTCAACGATATTTATGTAACTGAAATACCTCTTAGACATAAAAGGATCAGATACCAAAACCCAATAAAGGATGTCTTCTGGGAGTATTACCTTGGCGAATTACCAGAAAATGAAACTCAATTATAAGGCACATGGCACTTCATTTTATATATGTTTATTTTTGTGGAACTTATTTGAGGGACAGATATTGTGAAATACTTGTGCTAGGTCAGTTTGAAGTAAACTCACCCAGATTATCATTTTGTGCATTGTATCGTCAGCAAAAAGACCTCAAGCATGAAACCTTTGCACCTGGCCATTTATCCAACTTGACTGGGAATTTGTGCATAGTTAAAGCAATCAATAATCAATTCAATTAACAATTACTATACAAAAATAACACTAACTTCAAACAGTATAAATAGATCAGGATAGTCAGTAGAGCATGAATACTAGATGCATTGGCTTATATATCGACCTCAATATTATTCAGTAGCTCCTCGTCATGATGATCTGGGATGCATACCAGCGGAATCATGTAGTCCCTAATTAGGCTTAAGTGGTGTACCTCTTCAACTTGTCTCGCAACTATAAACAATGATCCAAGTGATTCTATAATGTGCCAGTCAAAATGTCGATATGATGGTAGCTTTGCTACTAATTGAGTTTGAGAGGGTTCAGGACCAGCAGCATTGCAAACCACTACGCGCCCCAAACGCTCAATTGCATAAAATTGACCATTAAAATAAACAACATCAATTGCACCGATTTCCTCTAGCTTCCGATACACGTTTCTTCAAAATCATGCCATTACAGAGGCTGAACAACTGTCGACATGAATTGCCTTCACCATCTTCTTCCTCGGCTAACATCAACCATGGAACTCTAGCCAAGTCACTATTAATATTGTTCATGGTGGCCGCATATCGCCAGGATTTGCAGACCGAGGCGAAATTTAAGTAGTTTTTCGATCATTTTAAACGCCTGTCGATGATAACCAATAGAGGCAAGTGCACACATAGCCTTTTTTTAAGGATGCATTACTTATTTTGTCATGAAATTTCAATTTAGAACAATCAAGATATTTTTGTCGTGAATAAAATTTAAATACAAGATGCATTAGCTAATTCTTAAATAGTAGCCTGGCTACCACTTACCCATACTACCTACCTGGTGTCATTTTTTAAATTCCTCCCACTTACCCATACTTGTGCTTTGCTTTTCGCGACCTTTGACTGCGGGGCCTCTAAATTGAAGATGCACAATCAATAACATGTTTCATTTGCGTACTGGTCAATCGCAATAAACGTGTATCCTCAATTTCCTTTGACTTTAAAACGATTTGATTGGTCTATTGAAAAAAATGTAATTGCCAAATTTTGTTTCTAATTTCACTTAACTATGCTAGGTCTATTTGAAAATTAGCTCGCTTTCATTTTCCTCGTTCCTTTTATTTTCTCTCTCCTTACAGAGTTTCTTTATTTTATGTCCACTACTTAGTATGGCCAAATCTTGGTTAAAAGTAGTGAGTTTTTTTGTTTCAAAGGGGTGGGGCTAGGGTATTTTTTTAAGTTAAGTGAAATAAAATAAGATCATTTTTGACACGTATCACATATCCAATCTAATCAAATAATATCAGAATTTATTTGATTAAAAGAGATCAGTAATCACAAATTTTTCTATCTTTGCTCGTCGGAAAAACCATAACTCGCTACCGTGAACCACCAAAACAATTAATTGGAAAGCATCATAAAAGCAACGTTAATAATTCCAGAATCTAGGTGTTCATACAAACACAAAAATTCGAATCAAACCGAAAACAGAATCAAACTGACTAAAAATCGATACTTTTTCGATTTGATTTGGTTTTGGTTTTAATTAAAAAATAACAAAAAAATCCGAACCAAACCAAATATTGAAGTAGTTATTTAAAATTTGTCACACACACACACACACACACACACACACACACATATATATATATATATATATATATATATATATATATATATATGCAAAGTTTCTAAAAATTTATGTTACATTTTTAAAGTTTGCATTTTTAGTCTAGTTCGTTGCTATTATAAAATCTAGTTCTTTGTCTTTACATTCTAGTTTGATTGATAGTTTTCTTTTGCTAAGTAAAAGAATTTATTTCATGTTAAAATTAATCTATTTTTAATTTGAGTCCTAAAATTATTCATCACTATTTGGTTCAAAATTATCCCTTGAGTTGAGATTACGAGGCCATGTATAAACCAATGCTTCTATAGATTCGATCGTGGTTTACAATTATAGGTTTCATACCTGTTTGTTTCTTTTTTTTTTTTCTTTTTCTTTTTTTATCATCTTCCGGATAAAGAACGAACAAGAGTAAAAACGTTTATCATCAATATATCTTGGTAATGATAGATTTCAAAGAGCAATTGGTTTGATAGTGTTATGTTGAAAATGTAGTCGCCGGAATATATGTTTAGTAGAGTATGTCTCATATTTGAAAAATCCGATAAATTATAACCGGAAAAACCGGCATTCACCGAATCGATAAAAATCGACTTAATTGGTTTAATTTGGTTCTAATATTTGAAAAATCGACTTACTTGATTTGATTTCTTTTTAGGAAAAACCGATCCAAACTGAACCATGAACACCCCTGCCTGAAACCATAACTGGTAACTGCACCAGCGATATGCCTTTGAGCCTGTAATATTCATGTCCATGACTAACAATATAGCCATTACAAAAAAGATACGAGAGGGGTCGAAGGCCGAAAGACCCCAAAGAACATCATTTATATGCTCTTCGGTCTTCTCTTAGATTAATGCTAGACATAGTAAAATCCTATTACATAAACTTCAGTTAGTGACTTTAAAACTAGAAGAATTTCAAAAGTAATTTAGAAAACATCGACGATAATCGTCATTCGTTGATAAGTTCAATTTTCATTGCTTATTTAGCTCGCCTGACCCAAAATCTTTCAGCTAACAAAGCCCAAGACACCTTGTAGCAAAAATACAAAATGTTTGTACATCTCTCCTGTAGTGGCGTTTGAGTAGTACATGAGACTCCAGAATCCTTACTCTGGCAAAAAAATTTAAACTAAGGGAGCATAAATATTATAAACCAAACTAAGAATAGTTATTATCCAAAAATTCGTTAGCTCTCTTCAGTCTTTGAGAATGCCAGCTAACACAGTTCTTAAAAGTTGCATTATTTGACCAGACACAGTATGGGCCTTCTGCTTAATTATGTATCAACCCATACTGGGAATCACTACCACTCGTCTAAACATACCAATAATATAGTTGTTCGAAGTATAAGAATATGCATTGGTAGATCCATTCGGATTTGGAGGAAGGAAAAGCATACGTCCATCGGCTGGGGGCACCAATGATTGGATCACAACAAATTGCTAACTGCTAAGGGGTCGTTTGGTTGCCGGTTAGAGTTATGCAGGTATTAGTTATACATGTATTAGTTATGCAGGGATTAGTTATGCAGGGATAAGTAATGCAGGGATTAGTTATGCAGGTATTAGTTATGCAGAGATTATTTTTTTGAATGTTTGGTTTGTTGTATTAGAAATTGATATACATTATATAAATTTTAAAGTAAAATGCTTGTTTACAACTATACCCCTGGCCTTCTTTTGCATTGTTTTTTCTCTCTTTCCATTTATGTAGGAAACAATTTAGTTAGGAACTTTGGGTGTTACTTTCACTTCTTCGTCATACTACTGAACTATGTGAAGTTTAGACATATTTGATTTTCACTTCTTAGTTTTGGTATTTCCATTTTCTAGTGGCTTCTCCAGTTTGCTTTTGCTAGTTTGTTCTTTAAAAATGAGAGAAGACAAGGTATATAGTTGGCAAGTGAAAGCAAGTGAAACCTGTTGACGGGTTGGCAGAGAAATAAGGAAGCCTTATGTGCAAAGTGATCGGGGTAAATTTGTCATTTCAGTATTTTATCCATGTATTACTAATACATGTATTAGTTATTCCATCTTCTACCCCGCATAAAATAATACACAGATTGACTCATACTTATACATGTATTATTTATGCATAATTAAAAAATGTCAACCAAACATGGTATTAGTTATGCAGAATTTTATACAAAATAACTATTGCCTACCAAACATGGTATAAGTTATGTTACTCCTTATATATGAATAACCTTTCTTCTAACCAGCTACCAAACGACCTCTAAATGGATAAAAATACTACATGCCCTTCAACTTTTATGAATATGTATGTACTCTGTGCCATTGAACTAGTATTTTTTTGACTTCATTATTTATTTCTCCATTTTCTATTTTTTACACCAGCCTAGAGAAGAGACTTTTTTTTTCTTGTAAAAATTGAATAATATTGAAAAAGATTTAACTTATATATATATATTCACATGTATGATATTTTGAACTATCAATTTCTTTTAACTATAACTATATTAGCGGTAAATAAACTACCGCTTTATACTAGCTATTTTTACCTTTTACGAACAAGTACTTATAATTATTTCTTTAAGTCTTTTAATAGTGTAAAATTATTCTTACAAAATCTTTATATATAATTTGTGTTCGCTCAAAAAATGTTATACATCTTACGAGTACAAAACAATATAAATAAATCCCGGGATAATCATAGCAAATCGTAATAATCCGTTGGACCAATTGAAAGACATGAAAATAAGAACTCACGATTAGGGGGAGAAGCATTAGAAACCTTTATTGATAATATTTGTTTGGTCTGCCTCTCCATGGAGAGGTTCAGAGCCTTACAATGGTGTTTTCTCTTCCCATAAGAGGGGTATCTTTTCTCGTTTCTCTCTCCTCTCACTAGTGGTCGAGAAGCAGCCCCCTTTTCTGGGGTTTCCTCTCTTGGTATTTATAGCTGTGAGCTTCGTGAGCTGGCGATAAGTGGCCGTAACCACGTTGAGATCTCGCCTTTTGTATCGGCCCTAGTCCAGGGCCTTGTCGACCGAGCTAGAGGCGGGTTGAACGTTGTCAATCCTGAGTGTTCGTGCCGTTAATTAATCATGAATTAACTTAGAACGGGATTAGCCTCGTTAATTATCGTGGGATCAAATTTTGACCCATACAGTTAGTCCCTCCGCTTATTGAGGTCGTGTTTCGGCCGAGCTCGATGAGCGGACTTCATCGATTGTGATTTGTAAACAACTCGAATAAGGGAGTCGAATTATTGGCGGCGGTGGCCTTAACCGTTTACACGTTGGAGATAGCTGTAGCGTTTCGTATATTGAGGATGGCCGTAGCCTTTTATATATTGGAGATGGCCGTAGCCTTTTATATGTTGAGGTTGGTCATAGCCTTTCACATATTGGAGATGGCCGTAGCCTTTCATATATTGGAGATGGCCGTAGCCTTTCATTCATTGGAGATCAAGATGGCCGTAGCCTTTCATATATTGGAGATGGCCGTGGGGAATGAATATGCGCTGGGTACGTATTTGGTCATCCAAAATTTTAACGGCGTACGACACTTTCTTTCAGTGTTCGCAGGTCGTAGCGACTGTTCTGACGGCGATATGCTAGCGGATGGCTGAGAAGCCGCTTTATGGAGCTCGTCATAATGACGCTTGCTACGACAGAACCGAACCGTTTTACGGTTGGTCGTGCAGTTAGTGATGGCTATTGGGTTTCGCAAAAGCCATTTATGTTGCCTATAAAGGTGAAATGAGGCATTCATTTCTCATATCTTCATTGTTCATTTGAGAGAGATTCTGAGGAAACTTTGTCTTCTCGCTAATTCATCTTTTCTTTTCTTTCCTTCGATTGTGATAACATTTGTTTTCAGTAGATTACCAATGGCTGGCAGTTCTTCCCATGGTGTTCTTCCGGTAGATTTTCCGGCAGCTGACGGACCATCTCCGGCGATGGGAGGTGTGGAACAGACGGAGTCCAGCGAAATTCCGTCGGTTGACGAGGTGGTTCCTCGGCCCGGAGGTCCGGCGATTGATTTCACCGTCGACGGTGGAGAGGAACCGGTGGATGAAGCCCCTTTGATGGGGGAAATTGGGATGGCCCGATTGCGGGAACAGGGCGTCGTTCCTACCCATGCGGACATCGTTC